CAGACTTCCCGCTGAGCAGGGAGCCTGACACAGGGCTCCATCCCAGGACCCCGGGATCACGACCTGAGCCAAAGGCAGACGCTTAACCATCTGTGCCACCCTGGTGCCCCTATTAATTAAAATTCTTCTGCAAAGAGCTGCCCCTTCTCCTCATTCATACATTCAATTGCTTATATCAGGATGCACTCATGAATGTTTACTTTACTCTATGAGTTATAACCCAATACTATCATTTCGTTGCAAACTGCTGTGGCATTGGCCATTCGGAGCTCCCACGGCTCGGCTTCTCTGTTGTTCGGACAAGCCCCAACCTTTACAGCACATTTCCTCCTGTTTGGCACGACGAGCTGACCCAGGCTCATCTAAATTTCTCCTGCCCCAGCCCTGGAATTTGCCGCTTCTCCAAGAAATCCTGGTTCCCTCGATGGGGAGAAAAGTGTTTAGAAACAAGGATCAAGGATCTGGGCTCTAGGGATGCTCATGCTTACATGGTAACTCACATGGGTTACGTGTAACTTACACGGGTCCTCACGGGTGTTTCGGCTCTTTTGGTGAACACAGCAAGGGCATCCTGGTATGTGCGCCAGCCGCCCTATCCACCTTATCCCTGCATGGACTTACACGTCTGCATGTATCTACTCTCCATCCATCCGCCACTTAAAGCTGAGTTCCGACAAATACTGATTCTGACCCAGCACCACGAAGCCCGTTCCTGTCTTCCTCCTTTCTAGCTGTAACCGCTCTTGGGCCATGAGAAACTTGGTTCTCATTACTCACCACCCATTCACCTACTTGTTGAACCCAGTATAAACACAAAGTCATTTCAGAATTGCTAACCCAAGCGCCTGTAAGAAACACATCGGCTAACCGGAGTATACAGCATTTTTGGACAGTCTTTTGCCATTAGTCTTCGAGTATCCGGTCAACACACTGTTTTCAAAAATTATTTGGGTAAGGTGTTTTCTTCCCCCGGTCCTTGCAATGGGTTATAGTAATCATCTGTATTATAATTAAGCTCATCTGTTACCATTCGGAGTCCATTTTGGGTTTCTCCTACATACTGGATAATTTGAATTGTTCACTTTTTGGGTATGTGCGGTCCTTCTTCTTCTTCTTTTTTAAAAAGATTTTATTTATTTATTTGAAAGAGTGTGAGCAAGAGAGAGAGAGAAAGAAAGTGCACAAGCCGGGGGAGGGATGGAGGGCGAGGGAGAAGCAGGCTCCCCACTGAGCCGGGAGCCTGCTGGGACCTGAGCGGAAGGGGAAGGCAGATGCTTAACTACTGAGCCATCCAGGCGCCCTGGTACATGAGGTTCTAAGTCAGAGCTGAAAAGAGAGCCACACTCTAGAAGGACTGCATACTCTGTACCTTGTCATCCCTATATCCCCGTTCCTTCCACTGCTTTCCCACCAGCCCCAGTGCACACCATCCAGCAGCCACTTAGGAAAGTACTGGCGAATAATAATGAAGCCCAGTCCTCTTCCTGGAGATGAAGAGCCATTGGACTACTGCTCAGCTCGACGGGAATTCTTAGGTAACATTTTAAAATTTCTTCTACTTCCTTTTCTCCCTCCTTTTTAAAATGAAGCATCTCCAAAACAATTTGGCAGCCTAGGAGATGAATTGTAAATCTCTGGAAAATTAAGTAGCACAAATATTTGCAGGGAAAAAAATCATTCCGAGTAAAGGTTGTGTTTTTTTGTTTTGTCATGTAGTAAGGCTCTAGCTGTTCATTTTCTCTGTAATCAGGATTTGATTTTTAGACTAACGAGGAAGGAAGCCACCAGAGATGAGTCGTAAAGCCAGTTCTAGAAATCTGGGAAGGAAAGCAAAGAGTCTTGCAAATGCAGACCTAAGGAGGAAACTGGCATCTGAGACTTTACACTTATCCAGAGGACACTTGGATCAAAACATGAAAAATAGTAGTAAAACTTTAGGATTAGGGTAATGTGGATGGTGAAGTCACATCCCATGACATTTCTAAGCGAGTAATTAAATGTGTGGCAAATTCTGCAAAGAAATAGGCCATTTTATATGTAAAGACATCCCCGTCCTCCAAGACCTTGTACGACGATGCTCATACCATCTATTGACAGCAAAGCCGCGCGGACAGACTCACAGGCCTGAGGATATGGAAAAGGTTACGGGCGATCCAGAGTCAACAGGTTTAATTCATAAAGGGATCTGGATCTACATGCTATGCCTGTCAATATGCGATATATTTTATGTCATGTCAGGGGAGCCCGTAGCCTAGTAGGGGCACAAGTCTCCAAGTCAAGACAAAACGGGGGCTGAACACTGGCCTTCTCACTAACCAGCTACATATCATGGGGCCAGGCAACCTCCCTAAACTCCGGTTTCTTCATCTCGATAATGGGCACAGTGATACCGACCTGTGTGGTGTGAGCTCTGAACCTGACGTGAAAAACTCAGTAAGTGCCCGCTGCAAATCAAGTGCTCCCTGGGGAAGCACGGCCGTGCGGTTAATAGTGAGGACTCTGGGCTCTGCTGGAGTGCTGGCCCTGCCACTCACTGGCTGTGTGACCTTGGAAAAGTCACTGAACCTTTCTGAGCTGCTGAAGAGGGAGCAGTAACGTGGAGTGGGGATCATAATCAATAACCAACTCTGAGAGAGCGCGGGCAGCAAACCGAGAAGGTACAAGGACCTGGTGAGCTGATACGGACAGAGCATAGAGAATGAGGCCAGAGGTACCACACTCTAGAAGACTGGCGAGGACAGTTAGACTGATCCAGCCTGCCCGCCAGACCGAGGAGGCCATCGTGGAGGGGGTGATCTCTCACACAGAGTACTGGCCCGGTGCAGGTGTGGAAGGAGATACGCTGGCCACACCTGTCCACAGCTTCGGAGTGCACAGAGGCTCACCCCATCTGTCTACGGCATGTCCAGCGGTCCAACCCACAGCGGTCAACAAAGCTGAAGTCACGAGACAGCCGCTGACACACTCACAAGGAACACATTACAGCCATTCGGCTACAGGGAAAAACCCCTTGCTCGTATGTTACGCAAACCCTACCCTGCAGTCAGCCTGCTATAGAGTTCCTGGTTCCACAGAGAACAGATCTTTAGAGGTGAGAAGATGCCGAGATCTGGAGAGCTGGGGCGCTTGCTCCTTTGTCTTGCAATCGCTCATCCTCTGAAATATTTATTCAAATTGCATGTCTCGGATAAAGGCTGTATTTCACCTCATGAAAAAAAATCAATAGAAAGAAAACGAGTGGGCGGTTTTGTCTTTATTTCTAAACACGCTAATAAATTATCTACTCTCACTGTATTGACACTGTGTTTCACAGGGAAAGAGCTCGCCGTACCTTACTCCACTTAAACTCACACAGACGAATGTGTTCCGTTAACTCCCCAGGCAAGGCTCTCTCTCTTGCTCTCTCTCTCTCTCGTTCTCTTTCTCCCCACGGAAGCACGGGATCCGCAGACGGGACCTCCCAGGTTTTCCAGCAGGGGGAATGACACAGGCCCATACTCTCTTATGCTTGATACTGAGATCAAGAATTTTCTAAAAACGGAAAACTTCCTTACAACCTGTATGGAGGCGAAAGTCAACCTGAGCCGGCCCACGCCTGTAAGAGTGAAGAACTTACCTCCCTTGCTGTGAACATCACACACAGATCGAGTAAGACGCCCGAGGCCCCACTATGGGTGCTGGATGGAATGCACGCCCTTTAATTCTCATAAGCCCCCTTCCCCCAAATGTCCCATATCTGAAATAAACTGGGTCCCAAGGTTTTCAGGTATGGGACTGTGGACCTCTAGGAGAGCTACAGATGCTGTTCTGCTCTGTATAGATGCTGTGTGAAAACAGCCAGTGAGAAAGGGAATTCTAGAATTTTCTCTTAAATGCCGCCTTCTTTTCAAAGCAGAACTTGGGCCAAACCACAGTGAGGATCTCGTGATTTTAAATGGGCAATAATCACTCAGAAAAGACTTTGTCCCCAATTTTGCTTGCCCCTCAGGTGACCGCACTAGAACTTACATCCTACAAGATTCTACAGAAAACACTCAGTGGTACACACACTCAGGGATGCTCATGTCCTTTTACGGGACGCACATTCTTGGGAGCTACTCTTTCTTGGAAGCCGGGCCTCTTTGGACCCTGTTAGACCCTGGTTTAATTTCCCGATCCCTTCACTCGCAAGGCACTTGGTGTGAGCAAGTGTATAGCCCCTGCGGACTCAGTTTCCCTTGCAAAGGTTGGGGAGAACACTACCTACTGTTCAGGGCTATTGGACTGAAGCAAAATAATGCAAAATAATGCACCTGGCCCACAGAAACACAGGTTAGCTGGTTTCCACACCCTTCCCGCACTTAGCTTCCTCCTCTGGTGGAGACACTCTCGGGATAAGACGTAAGGCAGAGAGCTCAGCGTTCACCTTCCTCTCTGTGGCAAGCTCAGACAGAGGGGTACGCATTTACCTACGACGGGTGGAAGGAAATGGATGTGTACGCAGGTTCTGGACCCAAAGCCGGCACCAGAAGCCCTGAGGATAACAGGGAGTAAACTGACAGACAAGCTGTTGGGGACCAGGGGAGCCAGGGACAGAGATGTCATTTAAGGACACCTGGGCACTCATAAGGGAGTAGCCTCGCTGGTTTGGATTTGGCTGCCGAATGGAAGAGTCCAGACGTGTGTGCACGGTTTTAAACCAAGAGTTCCCTCTCTTGGCTGCAAGATGCCACGCCCACCCCAGAGAATCAACTAGAACGGCACGTTCGAAGGTCTCAAGGTGATTTCAATACTGTCGTGGAAGTCGAGGCCACTGCACACAGAGGGACGGCAGGTGCTCCAGGAGCCTGGTGTCTCCCGTCTGGGGGGACAGAGCCTCACTGATTAGGAAAGGAAAAACACACAGTGCAGGGCCCCACGATGCGAGAGGTTATCAGAAGCCCGGAGAAGAGAACAAACGTTAACGTTTAACCAAGTCACGGCTGTCTGGGGAACAAACCCGAGCGCGCCCGCATTCTCACCTGGGGCTTTCCCACTCCTGGTCGTCCTTGTCTTTCTCTTCTTTGGTGTCTCCTGAATGCGGGTGTTTCTGCACAATGCGCATTCCGCCGGCTTTCACTAAAACGAAAACAGAGGGGGGTGTGATGGACCTGGCAGGGGACCGGGGAACAAACCCGAAAGCTTTCAGCGGACCCAGAGCCACCAGCTGGTTCAGATAAGCCGGCAGCAACAGGGATGAACCACAGAGGTTCCTGCTGTTGAGGGACCTTCGGTAGGACGTGGCAGTCGACGAGAACTTTTACTCCAGACCCACTTACAAACCTCGTAGGGCTCCTGCTGGCTCTGTTTGTTCCTTACAAGGACTTCCTAAGAGCAGTACCAACCACGTGGAGAAAGTGGCTGCTTGCTTTAGGTTTTCTATACAACGGGGTCCCCCTTAATCCCCGCCCCGTGACCTTTTCTCAAACACCGATGATGCTTCTGATGGGGCGATACAGCCCCCGGGGGACATGGGACAGTCCCAGAGCCCATTCAGGCGGCAGCCAGGGACGTCTGTGGCAGCCTTTCCCAAACTGTGTTGGGAAGCCTCAGTGTTGGCACGTGTTAACTTTTAAACATGGCCTTAGGGACATGTAATTCACGTACAATATGAGTCACTCATTTAGGGAGTGCAGGGCTAGGGCTCTGAACGTACTCGGGGCTGTGCAACCGTCCCCACAACCATCACCACAATCAGTTCGAGCCCACTGCCACGAGCCCAGACAGAAACCCCATCCCCGTGAACGGTCGCTCCCCCAGCCCCTCCCCCAGCTCCTGGCAACCCCTCCTCCGGGCTTGACTGTTCTGAGTATTCTTTTTTTTTTTTTTAAAGATTTTATTTATTTGACAGACAAGCAGGCAGAGAGGCAGGCAGAGAGAGAGAGGGGGGAAGCGGGCTCCCTGCTGAGCAAAGAGCCTGATGTGGGGCTCGATCCCAGGACCCTGAGATCATGACCTGAGCCGAAGGCAGAGGCTTAACCCACTGAGCCACCCAGGCGCCCCATTCTGTGTATTCGACCCCCTTCTTTCACTCTGCAGGTTTCCAAGGTTTACCCAGGGGGCAGCCTGGGTCAGGCCTTCAAACATTCCTTCTCATGGCACAATCACAGTCTACTGCACAGACCGACCACACTTTATTTACCCCTTCATCTGTGGACGGACATTTAGGCTGTTTCCACCTTTCGACTATTATGCATAGGGCAGCTGTGAAGAACTTGTGTACAAGTTTTTATGTGGATACATGGACATACACGTTCATTTCCTTAGGTACAGACTTAGGAGTGGAGGAGCTGGGCTACACGGCAACTCTCTATCCTTCTGGGGAGCTGCCCAATGCCTTTCCAAAGCCACAGGATCATTTTACATTCCAATCCGTCTGAGCATTCCAATTTTTCCCCATGCTTGCCAACGTTAGCTGTTGTCTGACTTTCAAATTATGGCCACTGTAATGGGAGTGGAATATTATCTTACTGTGGTTTGATTTGTGTTTTCTTGATGGCTAATATGTTAATACTGCTTTGCAACAAAACTAACCAACCCCCGCCCCCCCCAAAATGGGGATTTGAGGATCTCTTAGTGTTGGAAATGCGCAGTTGAACACATTATATGGGTGTCCTCAAGACATATTTCCTTGGCCTCTAGCACGCCTCGTGAGCTTTATGGGGGACACAGAGCATACCATCTTTCCCAAACTCATATGACCCCACAACTCCCCCCACCCCAGTAATGCTGGTTATTATCCTTTACGACTTCAGTGTTCCACAGAAGAGAGTTTGGAAATTCTGGCCTTGTATCAAAAAGCCAGCTTCATGTGACTATCACCAGCATGGGCTTTGGGCTCGGTCAGCTACAACACGTCCTCAGCTATAGGTCTCAGACTGTTCAGTCCCTCAAAGCCTTGTTGCTTCATCCGCAGAAAGGGGTAAGAGCCCCATCCTAAGATCTTTAAATAAGAGAAGCTGTTGAAACCTTCCCCCTGATGGTATTTGGAGGTGCGGCTTTTGGAAGGTGATTAGGTCATGAGGGTAGAGCCCTCCTGAATGGGATTAGGGCCCTTGTAAAAGAGACCCCTCCCTCCGCACCCCCAGTCCCCCAGAGGCACCTTGTCCTCTTCCCCATGTAAGGACATGGAAAAAAGACAGCTGTCTATGAACCAGGCAGTGGGCCCTCACTAGGCACCAAATCTGCTGGTGCCTTGACCTTGGACTTTTACCCTCCAGAAGTATGAGAAATCTCTGTTCTTTACAAACCACCAGTCTGTGGTACTGTGTTATAGGGACTAAGACAGAGGTGTTGGAAGCTTCTGGGCACAGGTAAGCAAGCAGAGCGGTGTGAACTGCATTCACTGTTCCCCCGGTTCGTGGCATCCTCCCTCCTCGGGTCACCTACCCCCCAGGTGCCACAGCACAGCTCCGATCACACGGACCGCCAGCCAGCCTGTCAGGCCACGTCCTCTGCTATGACAAATGGGGTTGGACCCTGCTGCATTAAGAAAAGTCCTGGACGAGTCTCCTTCTGATGCAAAAGGAGGGAGGAGGTGAAAAACACCCCGAGGCTCACACAATTCGAGGTTGTCAGTTTTTCAATTTCCCAGGGAGGGTCTGCGGGCCCCTGCCTTCAGGGAGCGGATGGTGCCCATTGCGTGGCTAATGGTCCCTAGCAGCGGGCTGCTGCAAAAATCCAAGGCAGAGGACAGGTGACAAAAAGGACTCTGGAAAACCATGTATCTGTTGCCACCACTAGTTCTTTTGAAGGGGACGTTCTGGTTTGGAAAGAAGGAAATATAATCCTGTTTGGTTAATTCTTCCCCAAATCTGCTTTTTATCCCATCTATTGATTTTTATTTTACATGACTTTATTTTCCATTTCTAGAGCTTTTATTTCCCTGTCAGATTCACCCCATCTTTATTGGATAGGGTCTTAGTCATTCCTCATGGTTTTAATTCTTTTCCATATTTAATCATTTTAGGCATACTTGTTTTATAGTTGTACATTTGATTATTTTATGATCTGAGGTCCCTGGGAGTCTAATTCCACTGCTTGCTTTTGTCTGCTGAGTCTCCCTCTTGTGGTGGTGACTGCAGATTCTGAGCTTTTCTTCGGTAAGGCTCTCTCTGCGGGGATCCTCTGGGGCTGGGAGTGTACGCAGCCTCCCTTTGGAAAGATGCTCGACATACTTCTGTCAAACCAGGAGTAGAGGCACCTGGAATCCTTTTTATGTCCAATTTCTCAGAACAGGACCTGAGAAACAGTATATATTTGAACCCACAGCCCACGTAAAGGGAGGCCTGCATTGACAAAGTCCTGCTGCCTAGAGCCCAGGTGGAAAGAGATCAGAGCTCCGTCATCCCACTGTGTTGCTGGGGGCAGATGCTCGGCCTTGCTCCAGAGGCTTGGCCTCTGAGCCCCACGCTGTACCATGGGGTCTTGGGTTAAATGAAGCCAGTTGGGGTGGGCCCTAACCCAATCTACTGGTGTCTTTACATGAGGAGGAAGAGAAACCAGATCACTCCCTGCCTTGTGTGGGCCTACGATCTATGCTAACAGTACTGAATTTCAGTTTCTTCCGGTGTGGTTCCTAGGGATTTCCCTCCCTCTGGGCTCAGATGTTTCTCAAAAGGAAAGAAAACAAAAACACCATTGCAGGTGGCTTATCAAGGTATTTCCGGTTGGGTAGTCAGTCAAACCTCAAGAAACAGAAATAAAATTCTGTAGCTATGTTAAGATAATTTTCTACTCTTTTGAAATGTTAAGTGTGTCTCTGGCCAAAGGAGGGGGCTGGAAGAATTGTCCCCTTACACTTTTTTTAGAAATTCATTTCCTCCCATCCCTCCCACCCTTAGCGCACACCCATTAAGAACTGGTTAGAGGCACTGCTATGGGCTGAGTTGTGTTCCAAAAACTCATGGGTTGAATCCCTCACCCCTATAACCTCAGACTGTGACTGTATTTGCAGACAGAGGAGAAACCGGACCTGTGGGCACCCTGATCTTAGTCCCCTGGCCTCTAGAACTGCAGATTTCTGTGGTTTAAGCCTCCCAGCCGGCGGACTTTGTTACAGCAGCCAAATCAGACGAATATCCTTTAAAAGAGGATGTCCAGGGGCGCCCAGGTGGCTCAGAGGGTTAAAGCCTCTGTCTTCGGCTCAGGTCATGATCCCAGGGTCCTGGGATGGAGCCCCGCATCCGGATCTCTGCTCAGTGGGGAGCCTGCTTCCCCCACCTCTCTCTCTGCCTGCCTCTCTGCCTACTTGTGATCTTTCTCTATCAAATAAATAAATAAAATCTTAAAAAAAAAAAGAGGATGTCTGAATCATCTCAACTTGGCAGACCTCAAACTTTAAAACAACTCACAGACATGCTCTGTAAAGGGGCTGAAGGGAAAAAGAGCTGTGTCACTAACTACAAAGAAGACCAATGATGAAGGTCAAGTGACATTTGAAGTAAGCCTGGAGCCCAGCACCCCCCCCCTACTGACTACACATATCAAGGCTCGGTCATCCCCCCCCCCCCATTAGTGCTTCATTTAATTCGGCTTATAAAAACAATTAACTTCATCAATCCCTCACAGTGTGTGTGGTGATTAATGCTGCAATAAAAAGTGGCAATAATAGTAATAACTCAACACCGAGACAGGTTCATTTGGACTTGCAATACTGCCAAAATGTATGATGGCAATATATTTATCATGATTGTTTTACCCATCAGAGGGACTCTCACTTGTGAAAAATACAAAGGCAGAGTTATTTCTGCAAAAATCTTTGCAGAATGACTTGCAAATATAAGTATTTCTATGAGACATTAGAAAAAAAAAAGAACTCGGATTGTTGGTGTAGTGGTCGTTACTCAAAGAAGAGCTCTGAACTGAAAAGGATACCAAACGCCGGATCTAGTATTAGCAGAAATGCTCTTCAGACGACAGGGACATGGGTCCTGGAGGCAGACTCCCAGGCTCAAATCCTAGCTCTGCCTGCGCATGTGCATGTGTGGCTGTGTGTGTGTGTGTGTGTGTGTGTGTGCACGTGTGTATGGCTGGGCACGTTGCTGGTGCCCTCGGTGCCTCTGTGAAGAAAGGGTGAC